GCACGAAATTTCACACCGGAAAAACACTTTCGGAGAACTTAATTGGTGAACTAAATGCCACTAACATAAATTAGTTCGAAATAAATCTGTTCTTTAATACATCTTACAATGTCTAGTATCTGAGTTGCTCGCTCGTTCGCTAGTTAGATTTTTTTAGGATTGGTTTGTGCACGGCGCGTCAGCCAATTCAATGACAAAGTTGCGTAAACAAACCCACTTATAAGCCAATTTACCGCAAGAAAAAAAGATAAACATGTTATTGTCCGGCTTAGGGTCGGTCCGTATAGGGAAAAACTGTGACCTCGGGCTTGAAAATGCTGCCCGAGGTCACAGTGTTTCCTTATACGGACCTCCCAGCCGGCCGATAACATATATTTATGTGAGTTCATTATATCGTGAATGTACGTGTGAAGGTGTCGGTGCATATGCGGATTAAGGGATAAAAACAATCGATGAATAAAAATACCAACCGTCGTGCGCTTGAACTAATAGTTTAATTTATGAAATGCTCTTCATCAAAAACAAAAAAAAAACATTTAACACTCAATCTGACTCCATTGAAGCAAAACTTTCTATTTGACAGTTCAAGCGCACCACGCTTGGTATATTTATTCATCGATTATTTTTATCTTTTAATCCGCATATGCACCGACACCTTCACACGTACATTCACGATATAATGAACTCACATGTATTTTATTTGAATTTGAGAATGATGGCATGGAGCCGTCGAAACGTCATTCTTTAATATCGCTGCTTTTCATTCTTAAAAGAAAGAATAGACTTTGAAAATCCAAACTTAATTGAGGCGAGGTCCCTGACGCGAGGTAATGAAGTCCTGTTACGTTTTGCGGTATTGAAAGATCATCAAGCAACCTGTCTCGCTTTTCTTTCAACAGTCTTTTCGCCTATCTATCAACTGGTGTCTAAACAACATGCAAATCTTAGTATAAATTTCAACATAACCTTACCAAACCTGAAAAGTCAAACTAAATAAACAATGGCGATGAAAGGAGGACGTAATGTTCTTTAAACTACCATAATGACACACAA